AGGATGCTCGCCACCAGAATTCAGGCGCATCTCACAGGTAGAATGCTCAGCAACGCTAGCATTCACTGAGTCCCCAGCTGGTGTTCCAGCATACGTAATCACTGCAACACCTTGAGGGAAGAGGTTCTGTCGCGTCCACCCTCGACCAGCAAGGAAACGCAACACCCGGAGCTCTTCTTGCAGTTTTCAGGACTTTATTCACAGTAATCTTTCTCCTTCTCTCTTTCCCTCTCTCTCTGGGCAAACCCTCTCCCAGCCCTTAAGTAGGCATGGGCTGCCAACCCCGAACTGCCAGGTGGGCACTGCCCATAGGTTCACGCATATGCAGGCAGCTGATAATCATTGCGTGATCATAGCATAGGTCAGGCCTTAGCCATCTCAGGAGTTGATTATACATCTCCATCAGGTGTCACACCACGCAGCTCGCTACAGTTCCTTTTTTTTGTAAAGCCACAGGTAAGAGTAGAGGTCTGATCTCTGTTAAAAATGAAACATGTACTAGTGTTTGTCCAGGTGTCATCCACTCAGAGAACACTAGACCTCTCTGGTGCTTTTTTACAGAGGTGGGAGTTAGACACCAACCCACATGCAATCAGACTTGCTCTTCTTGAGGCTGATGTATGCTTAACCTCAAGTGTAGTGCGCAAGCCTCGCATCCTGTGCTCGCTTACATCTCTTTTAAGGTAGATAGCCAAACTTGGGGAGACTGTCCTGCTTCAATGGCCGTGAAGGCCTGAATGATCATAACTGCATTGCAATGCTGTGAAACCTTTATGTGACAAATGCACCACAGACATACCAGAGAGGCAAGCACCGTTAAGCCTTGTTAGGGCTCCTACTCCCACCCACTCCTTCAGATGATCCATGGAGTGATCCAGGAAGATAGTTCTTCTGCCAGGCTGGTATCCATGCGTGTGGAGTTCACAGTCACCATTGCCACCCGCAACTTTTTCAGTTGTTCGAATTCACCAGACCAATTACCTAAAAAATATCTAGACAATTCTTTAAACAAATTAGTTGCATGAGTCATATTGAATGCTGGTCACACACACAGCCCCGGATGGATAGAAATGTCTGACAGACTAGGGTATAGACTTGCCTCTAATAACATACCCCAGCTGCCATACCCCCGTGGCTCATTTATTCTTGTTGGCTGAGTGCATGGAAGACACCTTCTCCCTCGTGCACCTCTTTGGCTTCCCTAGCAACCCAGCTGATCCTGCTTCTGCTAAGTAACCATATACTGCATTCTCATGGGTTGTCTGATCTTACACAGGATTTAAAGATAAATGCCCATGGCAACAGGTGTTAAGATTGCTAGCAATAGAGTTCCCAATCGCCACTGTACCCAACCTCCCATTTGGGCTATGGTATTCTACCAACCCTTTGGCTAGAACAGAGCACAAAGGTACCTGCTCCTACAATAGGGCAGTCTCTTGATTTAAATTCGCCCTGCCACAGACTCTTCAGGTGTGCGGAGCCTGAAACTGCCATTGTCTTTTCCTTGCCCTGCGGCTACGCTGCGTTCTTGGGCAGCCTTGTGAGGTCTCAGCTCCAGCTTGTCTCAGCTCCAGCACTTGTTGCATTTGCTGAACTCTTGGCACTGCTGTGGCATCCGCCAGGCTAGGCACCGACTGCTGAGGCAATGTGCCTTCCACCACAGCCACCTAGCAAAGCTCTGCTCCAGCTGCCTTCTCCAAATTGGTGCATGGAGCGGAACTCAGGAAAGCAGGCTGCTCTGAAGGGACCCTGCTTAAATTATCTTATAGGGAATTTGGGCTTTGTCAGCCTCTCTGGCTACTTCATGCTGAGCGGGGACGTTGCATTCTTAAAGGTATTTACTACAATCTACTGCCATTTTCCTGTCGCTCTTGGACTGCTGCGCTTTTATGCCCTGAGGCAGGACCCTCAGTGCTGCATGGCCTTGGAGCCGCAGCTGCTCACATTCCACTGCAAACTCTGGAGGTCTCAGTAATTCGAACCAAATGAATATCACTCCCTTCCTTAGCATACCTTGTTCACTGGCAAAATCCAGATCTCTATTAGGCTTATCCCAGGATGACACATTAAGATTGCCAGAGACGGCAAACCAAGGAGCAATTGTCACATTTAGCCAAAAACCTCTGCAAAGTGCTCCGTAACAGGTCGTTAAGAGCTAGAAAAATCAGGTGTGATGTTGAAGCCCCCATTCTAAAATCCCATTCTTAAACCGTCCACTTTGGTCGTGGCCCTCACTTTAACCATCCACTTTGATCGTGGCTCTGACTTTAAACCGTCCGCTTTGGTCGCGGCCCTATTACCCCCACTCTCCCTTCTTCTACTGGCGAGAGCGGGGAAAACCTGCTTTTTGTCGCGGATTCCAATCTTTACCTTGAGGATTATCTGGTGCACCCCCTGACTGCAGCAAGTTCTGGGCTCCACGGAGAGAGGTTTGGAGGTTCCCCGTATGAGGCCACCACTTGTTGCGTCCACCCTCGTCCCGCAAGGAAGACGCGACCACAGGAGCTCCTCTCACTGCAGTTTACTCCAGGACCTTATTCACTTTCTCACTCCCCCCCTCCTTCTCTCTCTCCTTCCTCTCTCTCCTGTCTCTTATTTTCCTTCCTCTTTTTCTTCTCCTCTCTCCCCGGGCAAACCTCTCCCAGCCCTTAAGTAGGCATGGGCTGCCAATCCCGGACTGCCAGGTGGGCACTGCCCATAGGTTCACGCACGTGCAGGCAGCTGATAATCATTGCGTGATCATAGCATAGGTCAGGCCTTAGCCATCTCAGGAGTTGATTATACATCTCCATCAGGTGTCACACCACGCAGCTCGCTACAAGGTTCTGCGTTCATTCCCCACTTTCTCTGTAAGGCACTGAGGCTTAGAACAGCTGGGAAAGGTGTCGTGGTCATGACGTGAAGCAGTTGCTGGACTGTGAGCCTCAAGAGGCCAAGGACTGTACTTGAGTCATCTCATATAGCACTTAAAAATTGACTTTCGGTTTGTTTTATGTGTGCTTTGCTTGTATATATGTGCACCGTGTGTGTGCAGTGCCCCTGGAGGCCACTGGATCTCCTGGGACTGGATGGTTTTGAGTCACCCTGTGGGTTCTGGAGGTCAAGCTGAGAGCAGCCTGGGTCCTCTGCAAGAGCAACAAGGACTCTTAATCCCTGAGCTCGCTCTCTCTCTCTCCAGCCCTGATGTGGCACTATTATCATTTTTGCTAGTGCTTGTTGGGGTTTGGTGGTTTGGTTCAGTCTAGACTATTAGACTAGCTTTGAATTTAACGATCTTCCTTCCTCGGCCCCTGAGTGCTGGGGTTATAGTGTGCACTACCATGCCAGACGACTTAAGGGAAGGAAGAAAGAAAATAGTTCACTTAAGTCTGCTGCAGTGGTTCTGCCTTCCCCGTGGGTTATTCTCATGCCTGTATTAGATAACTAACCTGACGTCGAACAATTTGTGCCACCGAGCTCAGTCAGGACCCGCTGCCCCTATGACTCTGAAATGACGATTCTGCTTCCCTAGTCACATCTGCTGCTGCTGTTTTCTCTCCATCTCCTCCCAGGCGCAGAAGTACAGCTTGTAGAGTATGAGGCCTCAGCGGCTGGTCTCATCCGCTCCTTCTGTGAGCGTTTTCCAGAAGACGGGCCTGAACTGGAGGAGGTCCTTACCCAGCTGGCCACAGCAGATGCCCGATTCTGGAGGGACCAGGTCAAGGAGACCCCAGCTGGCCAGTCTTGAGAAGATGGTGTGATCCCCTCCCCACACCCATCCGGCCAGGGCTGTCAGTGGCCCTGCTTCGTGTTTGTGATTAGGAGTGGGGGGGGGGGGAGGGGCGGGAGCTCGGACTCTGGTGCTACCTCAGCTGAGGGTGGTAAAACTAACCCTTCCATTGATCAGCACTTTCCAGTTTACCAAGTACTTCCTCAGTTCCTTGATCTGCACTGCCGTCTCTGGAGGGCGCTCCAGTTTCCCACGTGGGAAAGTGGCAGTTCTGAGAAGTGACTGGCCTAAATCCTGCAGGTGGCATGTGACAGAGCCGGGGCTCGAAGCATTCTCACCAAATCCAATGCTCTTCGTGTATTGCGTTTATAACCAGAAAAATAAATGCAACAGACAACCATGAACTTTGCAGTGTGTGTGATTTTTCCTCTGGGGTCAGAGCCCGGGGAGGGCACACTACCGCACTTTTTCTTCCAGTCCACAGTAGGATTTTGATGTCATCTCTAAAGGAAAGCACAAAGGCACGTGTTAGCTCCACAGACCTCCTTTGTGACATTTTTAAAGACTTTAAAAAAAATATTTATTGTGTATGCAGTGTTCTATCTGCACACCAGAAGAGGGCATCAGATCTCATTACAGATGGTTGTGAACCTCCATGTGGTTGCTGGGAATTGAACTCAGGACCTCTGGAAGAGCAGTCAGTGCTCTTAACCGCTGAACCATCTCTCCAGCCCCTTAAGACTTGTTTTTATGTGTATGTATGCATTTTCACACTGTGTGCTGGTACAAGCACAAGCTAGAAGACGGCATTAGATCTCCTAGAACTATAGTTACAAAACTGCTAGCTGCCATGTCTGAGAAGCAAACCGGGATCCTCTGCAAGAGCAGCAAGTGTTCTTGTGCTTGGAAATATTTCAGGAGCTTAAGAACTAGAACGCATCAAGTTGAGATCCCACCCTTTTAATCCTGGTGGTTTGCTTCTCAGAGCCTGAACCTCTATAGTATGACAATCAGAACATGACCCTTTTCAACTGGGTTAACTATAAAAATTGAGGCAGTTTATTTTGTTGGTCTTAACCCCCAACAAGGGCTCCTCCTCAGGCCTCAAAGCCAAGGACCCTGTTATTGATGCAGAAACCATAAATCAAAATAATACTGCAAGGGAAAATGCCGTCAAGGAAACCGGTGTTTATCTTGTTTGGTTCCAGCCGGGACAATTTCATCCCGGAACGTTTGTTTCTGTGCTTTCGGGTGTCCGGGTATTATTGGGCGTTGCGCTACGGCGGAGGTGGTTGCCACGGCGACGCCCTGAAAGATGGCTGCGACGCCTTCCTCGGATTCCGACAGCGGGAGAACTGAGAGGTGAAATCCCGGGTCCTTCCGCCTTCCTTTTCCTCAGATGAGTAAACGGTGCTTTGGTGCCAGGTCCTGGGCTCTTGCTTTCGGAAAGCGCTGGAAGTGCTGGAAGGGGCCGTTTAGAAGTCAGTTACAGAAAGTCGAAGGCCAAGAGTGTCCGTGACTGGCTGATGCTCCGGGCGCTAACTGATCCCATATTCCCCTTTCTCCGTGCCCTCAGTCTCAGGCGTCACCTTACTCAGCTTTCTTCCTTTCCCATGGGGCTTACTTTCCAACTGTGCTCTCCTTTCCCATCGCAGCAACGAAGCCAATTCGAAATGGCTGGACGCGCACTACGACCCCATGGCCAACATCCACACTTTCTCCTCCTGCTTGGGTGAGTCTCCAGACCTAGGAATGTCTAGGAGGGTGGGAGGATCAGGTAATGGTGAAGGCTTTGGGATTCTCAAGCACAACCCGTTTGTGTTTTCCAGCCCTGGCAGATTTGCACGGCGATGGGGAGTACAAGGTAGGCGATCAGAAAGTTGAGTGGGGAAAACTCAGAAGTGAGATTTGCAGAGGCTCAATATACTCAGGAACCCACTAGTACTGTAAAGACGCATTTAGTTGGACTTCTTTCTTTTAATGATTTATTTATTTTTATTTTATGTGCATTTGTGTTTTTCTTGCATGTATGTGTGAGGGTGTCAGATCCCCTGGAACTGGAGTTACAGACAGTTGTGAGCTGCCATATTGGGTACTGGGGATTGATTCAGGGTCCTCTGAAAGGGCAGTCAGTCCTCTTAACTGCTGAGCCATCTCCCCAACCCTGGAATTTCTTTTTAATTTAGAAAGTGAGCATTAATTTTATAACCTGATCTGTAGAAATAAAGCAAAAAGCAAAGTGCTGTAGACTTATGATGCCAAGACATATAATTCTCTGAAAATTAATTTGGGGGACTGGAGTGGTGGTACATGCCTTTAATCACAGCATTTTGACAATAGAGACAGTTGGATCTCTGTGAATTTGAGACTGGCCTGACAAGTTTGAGGCCAACCAGAACTACCTATCGAGACCCTGCCTGGATAAGCAAAACAAAGTAAAACAAACAAACAAAAACCCAATCCCCATCCGAAAACAAAAATAGCAAGAAAGTTAATTTTGAGATTTTTATTTATTTATTTAGGGTTGGGAGGATACATGAAGTGTGGCGGTTGGGTTACAACTTCTGAGAGTCAGTTCTCTCCCATGTAGGTTCCAGTGATTAAACTTAGGTCATCAGGAATGGTTACAAGTATCTTTGCCACTGCAGGCCCCAATTCTTGTTTTGGGGGATTTTTTGGGTTTTTTCTTTTTGTCCTTTAAAAGATTTTTTAAATATTTATTTATTATGTATACAATGTTCTTCTTGCATATGTCCCTGCAGACAGAAGTTGGCACCAGATCTTATTATAGATGGCTGTGAGCCACCATGTGGTTGCTGGGAATTGAACTCAGGACCTCTGGAAAAGCAGTCAATGCTCTTAACCACTGAGCCATCTCTCCAGCCCCTAAAAGATTTATTTATTCTATGTATGAGTGTCCTATCAACTTTATGCCAAACGAGGGCATCAGATGCCACTATAAATGACTGTGAGATACCATCTGGGTGCTGGGAATTGAATCCAGGTTCCCTGGAAGAGCAATCAGTGCTCTTAACCTCTGAGCCATCTCTCCAGCCCCCCAATTTTTATGTCTAATGGTTACTGTTCAATTATTTTAGTTTATTATACAAAATAATGGGCTTAAAAATAAGAAATGGTTCACAAAACTGGTTTAGGTTTTTTTTGTTGTTTTGTTTTAAGACAGTCTCAGTGTAGTACTCTTGGCTGTCTTGGAACTCACTATGTAGATTAAGTTTCAGATTGGACTCAAACTCACAGAGATCCATCCATTTGCCTTTGCCTCCCAAGTGCCAGGATTAAAGGCAGGGGCCACCATGCCCATTTTCCGTGTGTCATCTTTGAGTAGACACTGTGCTAATAATCTTCCCTACGTCGTCCAAGTTTTAGTATATGTGCTGCGGAGTGAGCACACAGCCTCTTAGTTTAGATACTGTGAGCTGAGCTGGAGCTGAGTGAAATGGAGGCATTTGTGAGCTGTGTTCAAAGTCCTGGGTTCAGTCCCCAGCACCACAGTAAAAGAAAAGGAACGAGTGATGAAGGGTAAGCCACTCATTTACCACCCCTGAATACTCACCAGGCTCAAATAATTGAAGAGTTCATTTGATCTTCTCCAGGTGTCATGGGGTAGATAGTCCAGTTTTGCAAGAGAGAAACCTGAGTTCAGAATGGCTAATGAGCTTTCCTAGGGCAATAGCTCTTCCAAGCCCACAGCAAAACCTTTGTGAATGTGAGGATGGACTAGGAAGCACCAACAAAAAGGCTGAGCCTAAGAAGGTCCTAAAGAAATGACCGCTATGCTGAATGGTTTGTCCCTGCAGCTGGTGGTGGGAGACCTTGGCCCAGGTGGGCAGCAGCCCCGCTTGAAGGTGCTGAAAGGCCCGACAGTGCTGACCGAAAGCCCACTGACTGCCCTGCCAGCGTCTGCTGCCACCTTCCTCATGGAGCAGCATGAGCCCAGGACACCAGCCCTGGCGCTTGCTTCAGGACCGTGTGTCTATGTATATAAGAATCTTAGACCCTACTTCAAGTTCAGCCTGCCCCAGTTACCTCCAAACCCTTTGGAACAAGATCTTTGGAACCAAGCCAAAGAGGTAAGTGGCCCAGGGAACGAGAATGCAAAGATAGCAGCTATTGAATGAGGAGGACCAGATTCTCAGAAGAGTGGGCTCACAAGTGACCAATAGCGGGAGGTAGGCCATAGCCCACCTCTGGCAGCAGCAGTGAGATGTATGTGCTCAGCCCCAAGGAATAGCTTCCAGGGAGGCACTGAGCCCGAGAATCCCTCTGCACTAGCCACATACCTTTCTACCTGTGGGGGAAGGGAAACCAAAGAAAGGACAGGCTCACTAGAGTGAGTGGGAGGTAGCCCTGGGGAGTAGGGATACCTAGGGGAGGCAGCTGTAAAGAGGATGATGGACATTAACATGATCCTGAAACTGGATTCAAATTCAAAAACTGGCCTCGGGGTTCGTAGCAGGGAGTTGGAAAAAACTGGGGAGGAAGACCCACTCTTGTCCCCAGGTATAGCCGTAGTGAGCTGGCTGAGGACATGGCTTAAGACATGGCTGTTAGAGCTCACAGGCTCTCCCTTCTTTCCATGCTAACACAGGACCGGATCGACCCCTTAACCCTGAAGGAGATGCTGGAGGGCATCCGGTGAGAGCCCACTTCCTCGCTTTCCATGCCTTCATCCCAAAACTCCCCTGTGAACCTTCACTAAAGCTGCCATTTTGGCCACTCTCATTGCAGGGAAAAGGCAGAGGTGCCTTTGTCTGTACAGTCACTCAGGTAGGAGTCGTGTGGAGGTGGGGCAAAGGGGGTGTCTGTGGCCTGGCCCCAGGGGCAGCCAGGGCATGGCATGCAGATGCTAGTTCTACATGTGTGCAGGTTTCTGCAGCTGGAGCTGAGTGAAATGGAAGCATTTGTGAACCAGCACAAGTCCAAGGTTATCAAGCGGCAGGTAATGCCCTTTCTCTTTTTATTGCCCTATAAAAGCGCTTACATTCTTAAAATTGGGTATGCTAGTGTGTGGAGGTGTATGTGTGTGGAGGCCAGAGGACCTTAGGTGCTGTCCCCTGGGATGCCATCCGTCTCCTTGGATATAAGGTTGCTCTTGGCATAGAGCTCACCAATTAGTCTGCATCAGCCAGCCAGGAAGCCCCAGGAATCCAGCTGTCCCTGCCTCCCCTGCACTGGTATTACAGGAACATGTCACCTTGCCTGGCATCTCTTGCATGGCTTCTGGGAGTCAAACTCAGCTCCTCCTTACCAGGCAAGCATTTTCTGTATCCCCGGAACTATATCCCCAGCTCCAAATACTCTCTTTGAGAGAGAGAGTGCTACATGAGCAGTTCTAACACAGCCAGGCCAGTGGCACTCGGCGGTTTTCCCTCCAGCCGTACTGCAGGTCGAGGGTCTCAGCAGGTGCCGTCTATATCTGTAGTTAACAGGGACAGCTATCAACAGCTGGGACATAATATTAATTATCAAACATTTTCTTTCTTTTTTTTTTTAATTTTTTTTTTTTTTTTTTTGGTTTTCGAGACAGGGTTTCTCTGTAGCTTTGTTGCCCATCCCGGAACTAGCTCTTGTAGACCAGGCTGGCTTCGAACTCCCAGAGATCCTCCTGCCTCTGCCTCCCGAGTGCTGGGATTAAAGGCCTGTGCCACCACCACCCGGAATCAAACATTTTCTTAAAGGTGAAGGTAGTTACATTTTTGTTGCAGAATATTTAGAAAACAGAAGTATAAAGATGATTGTGCTACCTAGAGACACCCACTTACCGTTTCCGTTCGTTTCTTTCACACTGCCTTTCTCGCTGCTTCTCTCGAGCAGCACCTTATTTCGAGCCTTAAGCAGCCATCGAGAACTCTAATTTTAGTAGCTCACTAATCGTTTAATTGGTTATTTGTGATGTCTTTCACTGGTTTGGTTTGGTTGCTGTTTTGTTTTGTTTTGAGACAGGATTTCTCTGTGTAGTCCTGGCTATTCTGGAACTCTCCCTGTAGATTAGGTTGGTCTCAGATTCACAGAGATCGGCTGCCTCTGCCTCCTGAGCACTGGAATTAAAGGCGTGCGCCACCATGGCCAGTTTGGATCTTCTTTTAAAACATGTGTTTGTTGTTTAGAGAGTTTTCTTTTGTTTTATTTTTGAGATAAGGACTTGCTAGGTAGTTCTAGCTGGCCTGGAACTGTGTAACTGGATTTGTAAGCCAAGCTCACTTGAACATGCAGCAATCCTCTTGCCTCCGCTTCCCCAGTGCTGAAAAATTACAGGTATGAGCCACATACTCTGCTCTCAAATATGTGGCCATGTTGGTTTTGACTATATGAATAGCTGATAAGTAGTTTAGACAATACTCGTTGTTAAGAATTTAGGTTTGTTGCAAAAACACTTTTGACATTAACATTCAGACACGCCTCATGCTTGCTCCTCCTCTTTTGCCCTTTTCCTTCACGCCTCTGACTCTGGGTGTCTGGGGACATGGTGGAGTCCTTCTGCAGACAGTCATCACCACCATGACGACCCTGAAGAAGAACCTGGCGGACGAAGATGCAGTGTCCTGTCTGGTGCTGGGCACTGAGAACAAGGAGCTCCTGGTACTTGACCCTGAGGCCTTCACCATTCTGACCAAGGTCAGTATCAGGTCTGTCCCTGGCTATGTACAAGGTCCAGGCTGCACTCTTGTTCTCTCAGTTGTGGTGGTGTCCAGTCACTGAAGGAGGATGAGAGCATGTAGTTAGGCACAAAGAAAAAGATAGATATCCCAAGAGCTCACCACCACTGGGTCGAGTATGAACGCTTCAGCAAGGATCCTTCTAGATGTCCTCACATGTGGCATCGTTACCTAACTTGAGTCAAACATAATTTTATCCAGAGGTATATTTCCGTTCTAGTTTCATTATTGCTGCTGTGATAGAATACCCCGACAAAGAGCATTGTGGGAAGAAAGGGTTTGAATTACAGCTCCAGGTTACAGGCTATCCCTTCAGGGAAGCCAAGCAGCTGCTCACCTCACGTCCACAGTCTAGAGCAGAGAAAAAGGAATGCACCCGTGTTGTTTGCTTGCTGTGCTTAATCTTCAGCTGGCTTTCTTCACTCAAACAGTTCAGAGCCTGGACACTGAGTTGGTACACATTCAAGGGGTGCCTTGCCACCTCAGTTAACAATCAAGACAATTGCCCACAGACCAATCTGAGCTAGGTACCTCTCAACTGAACCTCCCCGCACAAGTGGTTCCAGGCTTTGCTAAGTTGATGTTAAATGCAAACAGCACAGCAGCCTTAGATAAGCAGGCTCGTGTACAGCATCCAACAGTTCATTCTTTTCACGTTACTGCGTGATGTCAGTGACCTCCTGTGTCTACAAAACCGCATCAACCTTTTTGTTTCATTTTTGCCTTTTTTTTTTTTTTTTTTTGCAGTGTAGCTCAGGGTAGCCTTGGACTTGTGATCCTCCTGCCTCCATCTCCCAAGTGTTGGTATTATGGTATATATTACCACTCCCAGCTTTCTATCAGCTCTTTTTTTAAAAAAAAAATATTTATTTATTTATTTATTTATTTATTTATTTATTTATTTATTTATTTATTATGTATACAATATTCTGTCTGTGTGTATGCTACAAGCCAGAAGAGGGCACCAGACCTCATTACAGATGGTTGTGAGCCACCATGTGGTTGCTGGGAATTGAGCTCAGGTCCTTTGAAAGAGCAGGCAATGCTCTTAACCTCTGAGCCATCTCTCCAGCCCCACTATCAGCCCTATTAAAGGTCCCACATAGCCGTTCTCTATGTAAATACATATATAGATGTATTTATGTTGCCACTTGATTTTTGGTGTCCACTTAAATGTTTTTCACTATTATTAATGCTGCTACAGTGGTCTTCCATGTTCAAACAAAGTAGGCCAACTTTATATGTCACTTAAATAGTTCTGATACTTTCCTGGAGGTGGCAGAGTTTAGCCAGATGGTATAGCTGTGCAGGAATGGGAAGTGAATGATCAATGGGAAGTGAATTAAGCGATTAGGATTTTAATCAAGAATTAACAGTTTCTTCCAACTATGGTCAGTATGTTTTGAGCCTTTTCTCTGCAGATGAGCCTACCCAGTGTCCCTGTCTTCCTGGAAGTTTCCGGCCAGTTTGATGTGGAGTTCCGGCTGACTGCTGCCTGCCGAAATGGGAGCGTCTATATCCTGAGAAGGTAGCCACAGAGAGACCTGGTGGTTTCAGAGACTTGCAAGATGAACAGGAGGTTTGGGGGCTGAATTTTGGGATTGAAAAGATATGAGAATCCATAAAGGAGGTTGAATTGGTGAGAGCAGAAGTCGGGGGAGGAGGCTGGCAAAGTGAGAGCCTGGCACGATGGAGGTCATCCATGAACAGTGTGGTCAGAGGTGGAGGGGACAGATGCAGTCTCTTGTGTTTGTTAGATTGTTTTATAATGTATGTGATGGACGCATGCATTGGTTTGATATTCCAGACAGCCTTTTCACCCAAGACACTGATTGCGCATCTGCTCATCATTCAGCACTGTACAGGGTGTAGGGATATGCTGAGTGGGATGCTGAGTGGGATGCTGGGGAAGACAAAGATCAAAGATATTGCAAGTTAGATGAGAGCTTTGTAGGAGCAATGGAGGCTGAGTGGGAAGAGAAACATCACCTGTGTGGTGGCTTGAAGGGGTGTGCACCTGTGATCCCAACATTTGGAAGGCTAAGAAGGGAGACTTCCTGGATCCCAGGAATCTGCACCAACCCTGGCCAAAGAAAGAGCCCAGAAGCCAGTGAAGACTCACAGTCATTGGCTGGCCGGAAGAAAAGTGGGCCACGGCCCGTGTTGAAAAGCATTGCCCAGTAGGGTGATTTCTGGGAAAGGAAATTACATCTGTAAATACATGTATGGAGTATGTACCATGCCACTTGGTCTTGGTGTCCACTTAAATGGTTTTCATTATTATTAAGCTGCTACAGTGGTCTTCCATGTTCAAAGTAGACCAACTTTGTCTGTCACTGAAATAGTTCTGATACTTTCCTGGCAGTGACAAGAGTTTAGCCAGATGGTATAGACTTAAAGCTGTGCAGGAATTTAAGCTGTGACCAATGGGAAGTGAATGAAGAGATTAGGATTTTATAGGATTTTCATCAGGAATTAACAGTTCCTTCTGGAAAAGGAGAACTAAGGTGGAGAGACAGGAAAGCTGAAGGGGACATCAACAGTAAGTGTGCTGCCTTTTAGTGATGAGCAGTGAACTTCCTGGGTCCAATAGCACTAGACCACTCTAAGGTAAACGCACCACAACTCTGACGTCCCAGCTGTGACACTTGTCACCATTGTGAGGGCAGGAAGAGACAGGGTAGGAAAACAGCTGGTGTTATCCAGGGTCACACATCTACAAAGTGGTAGATGGAGAAATAATCCCATCACCTACTCAGGACCAGGGCTGCTTTCAGGTTAATCTGGGGGTGCTTAGGAGGGATGGGTCAGCCCAAGACATAGAGGCAAGGCTTCTCTAGGCAGCAATTGTGTGTTTATTCCACAGAGACTCCAAACACCCCAAATACTGCATCGAGTTGAGTGCCCAGCCTGTGGGGCTGGTCCGGGTACACAAGACCCTGGTGGTGGGCAGCACTCAGGAGAGCCTGCATGGCTTCACCCACAAGGTGTGGTCTCTGGCAAGCCCTTCCCCCTCGACACCGTCTGCCCTATGAACCCTACCCTGCTGCTCCAGCTGCCCTTTCTTTCCACTTGAGGCCCTGAGCTCCCTACAGACATACTGGCTGTTTCTTGCTAGGGTAAGAAGCTGTGGACAGTGCAGATGCCTGCAGCTATCCTGACCATGAATCTCCTGGATCAGCGTTCCCGGGGCCTGCAAGCTGTCATGGCTGCTCTGGCCAATGGGGAAGTCCGCATTTACCGTGACAAGGCCCTGCTTAATGTCATCCATGCCCCTGTAAGCATACCTCCAGCATTGCCGCTGGCTCTTCCCTACCCCTGCCCCCCCCCCCCCCCCCGCTTTTATAATTTATTTAATCTTTGACAGTTTCATATATGTATGTAGTTGATCTCATTCACCCACATTCCACATTTAACTCCCTAACTCCCTCTGATACCCTTTCCTGCAACAGGTCTCTTCTGCTTTCATGGTTTTTTTAATAACCCACTGAATTAATGAGGACTGTTGGCATGTGTGTGGGGTGAGTGTATTTACTGACTTATGGATGACTTACTGGTGGCTTACACCCCTGAAGAAAAATGATTCCCCTGCCTCCAGCAGCCATTGACTGCCAGTAGCTCCTTAGCTTGGGTGGGGCCTCATCAGCCCCTCCCCATCTATCTAGCCCTGCTTCTTCCCTGCCTCTCCTGACTCATAGGGACAAGTCTCAGAAATAATGGTTGAACCTATCATGATGTGGACAGTTGCCACATGAGGTATGACAAATTGGTTTTCCAAGTGGATGAATGGCAGAGGAACATTCTAGAGAACAGCATGTACGAAGGCTGAGGGGGGCATAAAAGCTCTTTTTTTTTTTTTTTGCGATGGTCTCATTGTGTAGCGCTAGCTGACCTGGACCTCACTTTATGGACCAAGTTGGCCTCTAACTCACAGGGATCTGCCTGCCTTTGCCTCCTGAGTGCTGGCATTAAAAGCCTATGCCACTATGCTCTGCTCTTTATTATTATTATTATTAAAATATAATTACATAATTGTCTCTTTCCCTCCAACCCATCTTCCTTGCTCCCTCTCAAAATTGTGGCCTCTCTCTTTAGCTGTTAATTGTTTTACACACACACACACACACACACACACACACACTTACAATCTGATCAACCCATTTTAGTATGTGTATGATTTCAGGGCTGACTACTTGGTATTGAATAACCAATTAGGATTTTTTTTTATTAAGTTAATTTTGTGTGTATGGCTGTTTGCCTGCATGCATGTCTTTGCACCACAAGTGCACAGTCCCACAGAGGCCAGAAGAAGACGTAGGATCCTCTGGATCTGGAGTTACAGGCCACCATGTGGACACTGCAAAACAAACCTGAGTCCTCTGATAAAGCAGCCAGTGCTTTTAACTGCTGATCCATTTCACCAGTTCTAGGGTTCTTTATATAGATGATAGATAGATAGATAGATAGATAGATAGATAGATAGATAGATAGATTTTTTTTAGATATATGTATTTCCCATATGTGCATGTGCCAGGGTGAGCATTTTGGAGACCAGAGGACAAGTTTTAGGGATGAGCGCTCCTGCCCTTGTGGGCTCTGGGGATTGAACTCAGGTTGCCAGACTTGTACAGTAAGAGCTTTTACCCTCTGAACCATCTCACCAGCCCCACATGAACATCCCTTTTGTTTGTTTGTTTTTCAAGACAGGGTTTCTCTGTAGCATTAGAGCCTCTCCTGGAACTGGCTCTTATAGACCAGGCTGGCCTCGAACTCACAGAGATTCGCCTGCCTCTGCCTCCCAAGTACTGGGATTAAAGGCCACCACTGCCCAGCCCCACATGAACATTCTTAATGCCAAAATCTAAGTGGTTTTATGATCACTATATAAAATCTGAAAGTAGTGTTTGGGCCTGGTAGTACCGGGAGGGTAGGAAGTTAGGAGAATAAAGAGGAGAAAACTGGGTACAATAGATTGGAGTCTGATGTGGAAGACTTTAAATATCCTGCCCAGAAGAGCAAAAGCCATTGTAAGTTTGTAATTTTGAAAGGCAGTAGAGGCCACCAAGGACACAGTGGAGACAAGAGACACAGACAAGGTGGCCCAAGAGACTGATTAGAAGGCCACCCCAAAAGAGGGCTAAGTGTGGAACTTCAGCAGGGCCAGTGAGGTTGGAAGGGAGATGAATAACCCAAGAAATATTTCCAAGGCAACACTGCTATAGCTTTTCTTCATATCTTAACCATTTTCACTTCCATCTGGGCTCTCCCCTCCAGCCCATCTTGCTTTGCTTCTCAAGGTATTTTCCCAGGTAAAATCTGGTTTGTCCACATAGGATGCAGTAACCAGCCTTTGCTTTGGCCGATACGGTCGAGAGGACAACACCCTCATCATGACTACTCGAGGTGAGGACTCAGACCTGGGAAGGGTGGGGCGCGCCTGCAGTGAAGAGGATGAGACTGGGGGGGAAGGGGGTGAAAAGATGGCCGGTGGAAATCCTGCAGACATGTCCCGTGTAACGTGCATCAGCTCATCAGCAGTTGGATTTTTCTGCGTAGACGCTAATCCTGGTCAAGCTGCTGCCTCTGCACTTAGCCAGCACCCTCAGCACCCATCATAGTGCCAAAAACATCACAGTGCTTTATACACAGCTGCTGTCTGAATGAGTGGATTAGTGATAGGAGATGCTGGAAGCCGAGGGCGCTGTCACACACACTAATAGCAGCACTTGGGAAGGTGGAGCAAGTGGTCGAAGTCATGTTTTGACACGGAGTTCGAGGCTTTCCTAAGCCACATGGGTCCCTTCTTCAGGAGAAAAGACAGACTTGAGATACTCCATTCCATCTAGAAAGTGAGCCTCGTCAGGAAGGCATGAGTGGAATTGTTTTGGGAAGAATGAGAATGTGGGGTAGGACAGGAGAATGAATATGTTTTTTTTGCCCGCTTTTCAGGTGGTGGCCTGATCATTAAGATCCTGAAGCGTACAGCAGTGTTTGTAGAAGGGACAGGTGAGATGGGCCCACCACTTGCACAGACCACAAAACTCAACGTGCCCCGAAAGACCCGGCTATATGTGGATCAGACCCTGCGAGAGCGGGAAGCTGGCACTGGTAAGACTCAGGGAAGAACACAGAGAATCCCACTGGGTGCCTAGAACATGAGAGAAACCTTAGCCAACGGGAAAGGTCAGAGTATAGCCGTCAAGTAGCAAACTAACCCTCAAGGCAGAGGGTGCTGGTGGTGAGAATCAGGGGCTCTTAGCATCCAGAGCCAGCGGTTACTTCCAGATGCAGGAATTCTCAAGAGAAAAGGAGAAATTCGCCAGGATTCTTGTTAAGTTTTCCTGTTCACCCGCTCATTCATTACCTGTGATGATACCACGCATACTGTGCGTCTTGAACTGGGCTATCCCCTAGCTTGGAAGCTCAGTCCATCCGGCCAACTTGATGTTGTGTGCTAGATGCTTTCTTCCAGGGGCTGCTGGAGCACAAGCAAGGGAGTAAAAAATACTGCTGGGCATGATGGTGGCATGGGGGACGGGCAGAGAGGGCGGATCTCTATGAGACTGAGGTCAGAAGAGTTACATAGTAAGACCTTGTCTCAAAACCAAACCAAACAAAACCCAGCAAAACATGTAAATGAAACAATGGATAAAGTGTCAAAAAATTCAGTAGGGAGTTAAGTTCTATCAGATGACCAGATTTAAACTCTTGAAATCTCATAATCTTGGGCTGGAGAGATAGCTCAGCAGTGAAGGGCACTAGCTACTCTTCCATAGGACCCAAGTTTGAGTCCCAGCACCCATCTGGCAGCTCATAATCATCTTAAGGCCTTTTCAGTGGGTCTGATGCCCTCTTCTGGCCTCTACAGGTGCTACACTCATGTGCACATACCCACATGTAGGCACACACAGAGACACATTAAAAATAAATAGATAGATATTGAAAATCCCAAGATGTTTTTTTTTTTTTTTTTTTTTTTTTTTTTTTTTTAAAATATTTATTTATTTATTATGTATACAATATTCTGTCTGTGTGTATGCCTGCAGGCCAGAAGAGGGCACCAGACCCCATTACAGATGGTTGTGAGCCACCATGTGGTTGCTGGGAATTGAACTCAGGACCTTTGGAAGAGCAAGCAATGCTCTTAACCACTGAGCCATCTCTCCAGCCCCCAGCAAGATGTTTTTTATATGTGCCAATAATGTCTGACTGGCAAATATGACAGAAAAAGGTCATAGCAAAGAAACCCCTGGAAATAAACACAATGAGAAGATGTACAGAGTCTAGTAAAGAAAACTAAAACTGTCATCATGATGGATGTGGTGGCACACCCTTATAATCCCAGCACTTGGAAGGTGGAAGGTGGGTATCAAGTTCGTGGTCAGCCTTGGTTACATAGTGAGACCTGACTAAAAACCAGCACCAAGGCAGTTAGAATGTGGCTGTGGCTGTCTGTAGAGGGGGATTTGAAGAAGGGTCATCTGCTCCTGGCAAACGGTTAGGGGTAAGAGATGAACCAAGGGGACTTGGGGATAGTGTCCAGTGGGTAGGCAGGTATAGCAAGTGAGTCAGGGTGAGGCTGGTTTCTGTTATGTTGAACATGGTGTGGATGGCATCTCGGGTGGAGATGACCAAAACTGAGGCAGCCTGGGCCCCCATGAGCTGCTGGGGACACATCACACAACTGTGTCTGCACATCTGGAGCTTGGCATGTGGATATGGGAGCAAGTCTAAAGCCTTAAGGAGCTGGAAACTGATGTTCTTTGGGGCAGCCAGATTCAGAGCAGGCCCTGTATTATCCAGAGATCAAGAATGGTGGGTGAGAAGACAAAGGTCAAGACCAGCCTTGGGGGCTAGACAGAAGGAGCCTGGGGTAGGGAGCGAGATTAGGAGGAAATAGGGTATGGGCCACAGCATCCAGTGTGGCACTTCCTACCCCTGTATTCCCAGCTTCTTCAGGCCTTACCCTTCCCGCCTTCTCTGTTCTTCAGGTACTCTGAACAAGAGTGTTGTCCCCTCCACTGCTTCATTCAGCCTTTGTGTTCCCCTGCAGCCATGCACCGAACCTTCCAGACAGACCTCTACCTGCTGCGCCTGCGGGCTGCCAGAGCCTATGTACAGGCCCTGGAGTCCAGCCTGAGCCCCATGTCAACCACATCTCGGGAGCCACTCAAGCTGCATGCTGTGGTAAGCACCCAGGTGTAGGGACATTAGGGACAGACGGGGTGAGTGGGTTCCTCCTGCCGTGCAGGTAAGCGCCCAGAGCCAATGCCAACCCACTACCTAGCCCTGTGCTCCTTTCTCACCTCCCCACAGATCTAGAGACTGAGGCCCTGTCCTCCTGAGAGGACTGTTCTTACCTCCTGTACTGCTCCTCAGGAGGGCTGTTCAGTCTTCTATACTGTCCTCTCTGTGGTTGGCTACTGAGGGGTACATACTCCCCTGTTCCATGCTGTACCTCAAACAAACTCCTAAGCTGGAGTGGGATATGAGCACAGAGTAGTTAAAATGGGAGGGAAGACTTTTGTTGGCATGGACAGCCTAAGGGAATAGGACTGCCTGGTGCAGGAAGGGGCACCATGACCTGACCCTAGGTGACCAGGGCATGTACACACAGACACACACATACAGACACATATACATACACATGCAGACATAGACACACACAGACAGACACACACATACAGACACATATACATACACATGCAGACATAGACACAGAGACACACACACAGATACACAAATACAGACATACACACAAGACATAATACAGACATACACATGCATACACAAGCAATCTCAAGGCCCATAGGGCCCCAGTCACTTCTCAGGGAGCCTGAGTTGTCAGAGCCTCCCAAATTCTACTTGCTCCTTTTATTTTCTTCTTCTTCTTCCCTGTTTCTCTAAGACAGGGTTTCTCCGTGTAGCCCTGGCTGTCCTGGAACTCACTCTGTAGACCAGGCTGGCCTTAAATTCAGAGATCTGCCTGTGTCTGCTTCCCAAGTGCTAAGATAAAGGCCTGCACCGCCATGCCAGCTTCAGTTGTTTCCTTTCTGAAGAGAGGGGCTAGATACAGAAGAAAGGGTTACAGAGCCCCTGAGAATGGGGCATTGAGCCTCTGGGATGAGCCTAGAAGGCCGTCAGGCCCTGAGGTCACTGATGGCACAGCTGCAGTGCCCAGCCAACTTTACTTCAACTCTCGAGACTCCATCAAGAGCTTCCCTGATCTGTGCCTTTGCTATCCTGTACACCTCTGGGCTTCTGTGCTCTTAAGAAGCAGGTGGACAGAATTGAAAAATGCTGGCTTGACAGTATTGATGGGGAAGCAGCAGGCAAGGAGTGGTATTCAGTGTGCACGGCCAATAGGTCCTAAGGGCCTCTCCATCTACTCTTTCCACAGGTTCAAGGCCTGGGCCCTACCTTTAAGCTCACACTTCACCTACAGAATACCTCAACAGCTCGGCCAGTACTGGGGCTGCAGGTCTGCTTCTTGTACAACGAGACACTCTATTCCCTGCCCCGGGCCTTCTTCAAGGTACTGGGTCTCCACGTTGACATGGGCTCCAACAGTCAGGACTGGGGCTGACAAGGTGCCCCTAGCCTTTAGGTTGAGATAAGGGAGTGGCCAGCAGACCGACCCAAGCCAGAGACCAGACTCAGCTCCTGCCTCTACTGCCTTTTTCCCAGTTAAAGACTCCAGGTAGCCACACAGAGGGGATGGAAAAGAGCAGAGTGAGTGCCGCCTCTGCCCTCCCCCATGCTGTTGAGGGTAGGGAGCTCCAGAACTCATGCTGCTTCCAGCTGTTCCTGCTGGAGAACAGGAGCTGCTCTGCCCTTTCTACAGAAGCAAAGGTTCAGGTTTCCCCCAGGCCCTGAGGTGTCCTCAAGTTGGGAAAAGCAATAACCAAGACTCTTGAATAGGGAGGAATTAACTTTGGCCTTGGTAGCTGTGGAGAGGTCTGGGATTCACCACAGACACATGGACCTGCCATGCACTTCCCCTCCCTTCCCCTTGTTCCCTGGCTCTGGCCAGGCATGCCTGCCCAGGCTAAAGCCCAGTGGAGAGGCACAAATGCTGTGAAGGCTGCCAAACACTGGGTATACACTGAGTATGTGGGCTTTGAGGACGAGTTTATTTTTGTCTCCCAAACATAGGTTCCTATGTTGGTGCCAGGACTCAGTTACCCACTGGAGACCTTTGTGGAGAGTCTCAGTAGCAAGGGCATCTCAGACATGATCAAGGTAGGTTGCTCTTTGGTGTTCGGAGGCAAGTGGGATCCTGGGGAAGACAGTAGGGTGAGGGTGGGCAGGACTCTGGGGCTTTGGGCTGCATGGGATATGTCAGCGCAGCAGAGGCTCCCAGCCTTCCCATCCTGTGACAGACAGGCTGGTAGCCTATCTTTTGAGCCAGCACAGACAGAAGATTTGGTGTTAGCAAAGAGGAGAGGTCAAGGTGTGTGCCCCCTCCACCATGTCTTCTCTGTAGGTGCTGGTGCTCCGAGAAGGCCAGAGTGCACCCCTGCTGAGTGCCCACATCAACATGCCTGTGAGTGAGGGGCTGGCAGCTGCTTGAGCCCTGGGCCAACACTCAAGCCTTCACAGAAAGGAGCCAGCCAGATCCAGTGACTTCCAGTGTCCCCAGGCCATACCCCCACACAGCGGGGTACTGAGGCTTCAGCTTCCTGTTCCTCTCTGAAACAGTCTCTGCTCCCCACTTTTGCCTCTGGGCCTGAGCCACAAGACAGGGGGTGCTCAGAATCAGCTCCTCCTCCCTCAGAACCCTCCTGAGCACTGTCCCACAATTCCTGCTGCCTGCCACTCTCCCCAGCTCTTTAAAGAAATCTCCCCAGGTCCCAAGAAGAGAACTGAGGTGATCAAAGTGAGCAGAGGCCCAGTCCTTCCTTCCACCCATCTGTTTCAGATCAAGAACACAATTGCTCAGGGCGTTGATTGGCCTGGGAATTCGGCTGATACAGCCCCTGCTGCCCTTTAAGGTTTCTGCCAGCTTAGCTTGCAGGCACTTGTACTAAGCATTCCTCGTGAATGAGGGGCTCTACTTTTCTACCGTGCTGCTCAGGAGCACAGGGCTCTGTCCACAATCTGAGACTAGCCACAAAGATTGCCAGAGGAGGGGTGCAAGAGGTAGAGGGGATCCATGTGAGGAGCTGGAGGTCCCAGCCGCAGCCAGAGCTCCCACACAGCAGCTGCTCCTGACCTGAATGCTCGAGTCGAGTCCAGAGACATCATTCCTGAAATGGAATACCAAGCTAGATAGCAGAGCTAGGGCTGGTGGCTTGAGGCAGACCCAAGAAGCAGATGCCAACCAGTACCTGTGAGGATACACTTAGCCCAAATGGTCCAGAGGGTGGAATGTTTTCTGTGCCGTGGCAAAAATATGCATGAGGTTCCTGGAAAAGGTGCACATTAGGGGTCTAGAATGAAGCAGAAGACTAAAGGTGTATTCAGATGCCAGCGGCCCCTGGCCCTCCTCAAAGACCATTCTGAACAATTTGAGAATCGGGCCCTGCTCCATGGAGACCAACATTTTCTCTTGTCTGACCAGGTTGAGCCTGGTGTGTGGCACACAGCTCAGGCCTGCCTCCTCAGGCTTCTTCCTCTCTCCAGTAAAAGAAGAGTTTAACTGGATTAATTCCGAACAGCTCTAACATCATCAGAGCTTGGCAGCTCCTAGGGAGTAAGGCAAAAAAACATTCCAAAAAGGCTATACTGAACTGCATGACTTTTGCTCACAGGACCAATGGCTCCAATTTGGCCAGTACTGCCCAGTGACAGCATCTGAGTCCACTTGGGGCCCAGAGTGACACTGCCCACCTTGACCCTTCCAGAGTATGTTGGAAGTTAGGCTAAGAGACAATGGGCCTAGACCATCCTCCTTCCCATATTGCCCATCTGTAGGGGAGACCCAGCCAATCACCTTGCTTGCAGGGGGTGGGGTCCCCCGAGGATATTTTTTACTTATAAAGATTGCAGGTGTGCTCCCCGCCTCCCCTTCTGTTTTCCTGTTCTCCGCTGGAACTTTTGGTTCTGTAAGTCTATTTCCCAATTAAAGCTGTATATATTATTACAATTTTTGTCTGACTTCATTTAAGCCACTACACCCATCCCCCACAGACAGACTGCCTGAGCACACAGCAAAGGGTTTCTTCCTGCCTCAACCAGCCGAGGCACAGCTGGAATGAGCAGAAGGTCAAACGAGATGGAGAGATGAGAGGAGGAGGGAGTGTTGCTGTCAGTCAGAAATCCCAGCCCGACCTACAGAATTTACCAGGGATGGCAGGTCTGCTCAAGAAGGTGACGGGCCCCTTGTCACAGGTATGGAGTGGGGCTGTGCTGTCACAGGGCCAGGCTGTGTATTGGGTCAGGTGACATTCCAGTCCCTTTCACCCCAGTCAAGCTGTGAAGTCAGAACCAAAATATTTGATGTGGACTCTCCATCGCTATTCATGATGATAGAAAGGAAAGACCCTACCTTGTAGCACTGTCATACTGTGCATTGGCAAGAAATGTGTGGACAGAAAGGAACATAAGCGTAAACAGTGCGGAATGCCCGCTCCTCAGGAATGAGAGCACTAGAAAATTGGGAACATTAAGAATAAGAAGAGTCTGTATCTTTTTTCATAATACTGAATTTGAAGCACACACATGCAATAATATGGAATAGATTTTAAAATAAAATAAATGCCCTTTCCCCATTCCTTCCACAGGACCATCCTGTGCAACAGCCAGTTGTTTTGTCTCTGTGTAACAGCCCTGACTGTCCTGGAACTAGTCTGTAGACCAGGCTGGCCCAGAACTCACAGATCCATCCAAGTGCTGGGATTAAAGGCATGCGCCACCACCGCCTGGCCAGAAGATGTTTTGGATCCCTAGGAACTGGAGTTCCAGGTGGTTGTGAGCTACCAGTGTGGGTGCTGGCAGCTGAACCTGGGTCCTTAACCACTGAGCCATTTCTCCAGCCCCGACATTATCTTTTGGTTTTTGTAATAGATGAGGCTTTAGTGCTCGAGACCCTGCTCTCCATGTTTTAGGTCATCTTTACTTCCTGCTGACATTGCTGTGTATACTGATACATGAAAGTCTTAGTAAAGCTGAGAATTAACTAAATAACCACTTTTGAACTTTTACATGATTTCATAGAATTGGTATCTACTTTGTTTTTATTGCTTAGTTTTTTAATATACCATTGAAAATTTCCCATCCAACCTCAGTTCTTTTCTTAGGACACTTCCTTCAGACCTTGCTTCTGTGTAGACTCCTATAAGAGCGTTCCCTTTTCCCTTATCCAGGGCTAGATCCCCTGATTCCTGGGCTCCATGTCTTGTTATTCTGCCCTCATTTGGTAAAACAGCCATGGGTAAATTCTTTTTAAAATCCACTCCAGGCTTTATAGCATGCGCATCTGGACATCGCTGCATTCAGCTCACCTGTAATAATAGTTGGGGTGCTAAACAAAAGCTGGAAATAACTTTCCTATAGACAAAGCTCCCGTGTCCTTTGGCTTCTGTGCTGTTTTTACTGGGTCCTGATGGTTGCTTTGTGAGGTGGTGATGGATGGGCATTCCTTCCAGGGCTGTGCTGTGCTCTCTGGGGCTCCAGGTAAGTGGTTCCTGGGAGGACTGAACTGATCCTAGTTTTCTTCTCTTCTAAACCATTTCTTTGTTCTCTGCTCCTCTGTTCAGTCCTTGTAGTGTCCTTTCAGAGATGCATTTAATTTTTGCATGTGTGTAGCCTAATAGCATCTAATTTAAAACATAGCGAACTTATTTAATTAAACAATCTATTCCCTCTAAAGTTAGAAATGGGCTGTGGGGGGCTCGGTGATTAAGACCACTTGTAAAGGATCTGGACTCTGTTCCCGGCGCCCATGTGGTGTGACTCACAGCTGTAACTCCAGTTTCAGGGGATCTGACCACCACTTTTGGCACTAGGCACCCATATGGTGCACATACATACATGTAGGTACTCATAAAAAGTTTAAAATAGCGGGGTGGTGGTGGTGCATGCCTTTAATCCCAGGACTTGAGTTTTAAGTGCTGCCACTTGGGAGGCAGGGACAGGTGGATCCCTGTGAGTTTGAGGCCAGCCTAGTCTACAGACCGAGTTCCAGGACAGGCACCAAAGTTACACAGAGAAACCCTGTCTCGGGGGTAGAGGGGGGGGGGACCTACAATGAGAGACCATCGAGAGGACTCAGTAAAGGCCCCTGCTCCCAAACCTGTCAATCCGAATCCAATCACAGCTCCCATGTGGGAAGAATCAACTAACTCAAGTTACCCTCCGACCTCAACACATGTGCATGGTGCGGGTTGTTCCATGCACACAAAATTAAATATAAATTAAAATAAGAAATCTCGTGATCTTTTTGTGCTCAGCAATATCTTAATAAGTCATGTATAATAACTAAGATATAAAATACAAAAGTGAATCCACTCAAAAGACATATTTACCAGAAAGAACTTTATTGAAAATATGTAAAGCTGCCATGGTGGTGCACACCTTTAGTCCCAGCACTCAGGCGGCAGAGGCAGGTAGATCTCTAAGCTGGAGATCAGCCTGGTCTACACAGTAAGTTCTAGGTCAGCCAGAGCTACAAAGTGAGGCCCTGTCTCAAAAACTAAGAAAGTATTCATTGAGGAGATAAACCTTGTTCATGACCCGGAAAGCTGGATTTCACATAGATGCTGGTTTTCACCAAGCGACCCACAGTTGTTGGTTCCACTGATTACTTCTGGGTGGGCTTTTATTGGTCAAATCTAAAGAGCTGGCACACTCCTCTCCCAACATGGAGAGCACAGCAGGGACTTCAGACAAGCTGTGGTGAGGATTCCAGGGAGCCTTTCATATCTCAAAAACACATGGAAATTAGATATTCTGCAGCATGTGGGTAGAAGAGGGCACCAGATCTGCTACATACAACACATGTGTTCTAATCTCTTAGAAGTAACAAAGCATGCTGAGTGGCAAGCAAAGACCTCTAAGTTCAGGCAAAGCCCACCAGGAGGGTAGGCTCCTGGGGACAGGGCATATGATTATCTGCAGGCGACAGCCAACGTTTTCTGTGGCTTTAGCTCTATTTGTGACCCAGTCCCTATTCCTATCTTTTCTGTGGCCCCTGAGATCTAGAGCTTCTCTGGTCCAATCTGTTTTCCTTATCACCCCCCACCACGTCCCAGATCCCGCCACACTCCACAAGGGTGGCTGCAGGGGTGGGTGAGGTCTGTGGAGAGGAGCAGCTCACATCTCCTGATACAAACTGTCCAATACCCCATCCAAGGTTAGCCCGACGCTTCACCTCGCCTTTCCTAGTGCTGGGGAAGTTCTGCCTTGCTTACCTTCCCCTCTCTTTAGGAACATGTAACTTTGATTTTTAATTCTCTGCTAAGACAGGCTCCCAACCTCTGTCATGTTTCAAAACATTGTCAGGCTCTTTGGTATACAAACATCTGTCTTCTTTCCCTTTACAAATTTATATTCTTTTTACTTCTCTATTATTTGGTGAGTCTAATGGCAAACAGATGCCAGGGGTACTGAAGCAGTCATGTTTAGCTGTGTACCATATTTCTACAGTACGCTGAAAGCCAGCTGTGTTGACTCACCACACCTACAATTCCCACTGATTGACATCTGAGACAGATGGTTTGCTGTGAGTTCCAGGGAAGCCAGGGTTACACAGAAAGTTCCAGGCCAGCCTGGGATACTAAAGGTGATCCTATCTCAATAATAACAATGATAATAAATAGTAATAATATAATAGAAAATGTTCTAAAACCAAAAAAAAAAAGGGAGCTGAAGAGATCGCTTAGTAGTTAAGACTATATATTTCTCTTACAGATGACCCAAGTTTAGTTTCTAGTACCCACAACAGCCTGTAAGTCCAGCTCCAAGGGATTTAATGTCCTCTTCTGGTCTCCAAGGGCACCCACATATGCATGCCCATGCATGTACAAAAGCACACTCACGAGCACAGACACAGACACACAAATAAATATTAAAATCATCCTTCACAGGCTCTGGAACAGCTGGAAGCTGGTTGGTTTTGCCTTCATGTTTCTCCTACTCAGTTAAGCTCTGAAAAGTAAAGCAGATTCAAAGATCTGGGTTCAAATCTAACCTCTTAGTCCAGGCATGGTGGTGAATGTTTTAATCGTAGCACTCAGCAGAAGCAAAGCCAGGCAGTGGTGGCGCACGTCTTTTAATCCCAGCATTCGGGAGGCAGAGACAGGCAGATCTCTTGATTTAGAGCCAGCCTGGTCTACAGAGTGAGTTCCAGGACAGCCAGGGCTATACAGAGAACCCCTGTTTCAAAAAAAAAAGCAGAAAGTATAAAGCATAAGCAGGTGGATTTCTTTGAGTTTA